CTCCCCACCTACACTCACCTCTACTGGCTCCATCCCCGCCTCTTTGAACTGTGTCTCCTCTCCACCTATCTTCTCCTCTATCCATCTTCTATCCGCCTCCCCCTCTCTCCTCGTTTATTTCAGAACCCCCTTCCCCTCTCCCATTTCTGATGAAGGGTCTAGGCCTGAAACGTTAGCCTTCCTGCTTCTCTGATGCTGCTTGGCCTGCTGTGTTCATCAAAATTGTCGTGTTTGTTTGAAAATTGTTACTCTTGGAGATATCCTCATGACTGCAAGCTTAAAGGTTTTGGCAACATGTAAAAACCAGAAGAACGGTGGATGCTGTAAATCAGAAACAAGAATAGAAGTTGCTGGAAAAGCTCAGTAGGTCTGCCAGCATCTGTGGACAGAAATCGGAGTTAACGTTTCAGGTCGGCTTTTCCAGCAATTTCTATTTTTGTCTTTTGCAATATGTCTCTCTTTTCAACAAAATTCTGTTCTATCAAGAGATAATTTAACATAACTTTCTCCCTTTGCCTTTGCCCATTCTTTCTTGCTACAAAGTAGACATAACAAGCTCGATCATTTGCAACATTGATGTCGTCTTTGAGCTTGAGCGGAGTGTCTGACCACATATCCACTACATCATCAAGATTGCCTACTTTCACCTCTATCGGCTGATTTCCTACTCTGCTTCTTCTCATCTGCTGCTGAACCCTCCTCCATTTCTTTGTTACCTCTAGATTTGACTATTATAATTCACATCCTGGGAAGTGATCTTCCACCTCACATAAATCTGTGTCCATCAAAAACTTCGAGACAGGAAAAACATATGTCAATTCGCATCGGATTTATTTTACCTATTAATGATTTTCTGACCTATAGTGGTTCTCATTCTGGTAACAACTTAATTTAAAAATCAACACCTTTGTTTTCAAATCTCTCCATGGCCTCGCCCCTTCCTATTTTTGTAATCACCTCTAATCATCCAACCCTTCAAACATATCAAAGGATATGGGGAGAAAGTGGGAACAGGAAAGTAAACTGGATGATCAGTCATGATCATATTGAATGGCAGAATAGGCTCAAAGAGCCAAATGCCCCACTCCTGCTTCAATTATCTATGTTTCAATGTTTACATTCTTCAAATTCTTGCGTCTTGCACAACCTTGATATTAATCACTCCAATATTGATAGGCATACATTCAGTTGCTAAAACTCCATGCTCAGGAATTTGTTTCTAAATTCACTCCCCTCGAGCTATCCTTCTTTAAGTCATTCCTTAGAATTTACCTTTTTGAACACACTATTTATCATTTGGTATCTCATTCTGTGGCTGTCTATCTTTTTATGAATTGATAACACACATCTTAAGCACTTTGGGATATTTTGCTAGTTACAAGTGCTATAAAAATGCAAATGTTGCTCTTAAATAAGAAGAATCTGCACTCTTATCTATATGTATTAATAGGCTAAAGGTCTGTTGAAAGATAATACCAGAGATTGTGTTTCACACCAATCTAGACTCAAATAAGTGTGTGTATTTTTGACAGAGATAACATATTTTTAAATTGAAATATTGTGCTGCCTATCTTCAGTGTAAATTATAAAACGTCTCAAGATTCTTTTGTTACAGATGCCCTTACATGTGATATGAGTCTGTTGAGGTCTTCTTGCGTAGATCTATCCCTGGACGGAAAGTAGAAAAAAAAAAGATACACAACATAAATATAGAACATATTTGCAGAAATGGAGAGAGGGTGTGAAAAATGTAGCAGATAGCTATACATGTGTGCACTCATCAGACTGCAGAAAACAAAATTTACCAACCTCACATTTTGTTCCGATTGAAAAGCATTGATGTAATCTTCTGCTCTTTCCAATCTAAATAGCATTGGGTGGAATACTGTGGTTGGTTCTGCCAGCTGTAGTAATACTTAAGTTGGCATATAGAGAAAACAGCACAAGAGCAATATCAATAGATGACCATAGTCAAGGCAATAAACAGAGCTTAGGGCAAAACCTCTAGGGAATTTGTTGCATTTTGGGACACCGTCTGATGAAAAGCATGTTGGCCCCACAATTGGCATATAGCAGAATATCAATTAAATGCAGATTTAACACTAGAGCAAGTTTATTTTAAATTAAATAGAACACACTAACAGCCTCATTAGATGTTCGTGTTTAGGCTAGAATTTATGACAGATTGTGTTGAACTGATTTTTGCAGACATCCTAAATTCTGCCCATTTTTATGCCCTATCTTTTCTGTATTGTTTTCATAAAGGTTTTGGTTGCTATATTTGTTTGTGCTTTACAAAGTACATCAATGTGTGACATATTATGTTCAGACTCTATTCAGGCAGTATCGCCTGCAGGAGTATGGTATCCTTAAACACATGAGGGGGTGTTAAGCAATGGCATCTTTCAGTGATTCACGGGCAATGGAGACTGTTCTGCTTGCATTGAGCCCAATCAGCAGTCTTGTTAAAGCTGCAAACGGCTGGAAAAACAAAACTATTTATATACCTCTAACAGGATGGCTGTGCTGCTATCCTGTCGAGGATTTGACTGAAGGACCCTCAGCTTGGCTTGTGCTTCATGTCCACCCCATTTCCCTGGTACGATCCAAGCGTCGACCTAGCATTAACAAAACATTTTCAAAAGACAGTTGTGAACCAATATATATTTTGCAAAGTCTTTAGCAAAGATACGACACAGATATACAATAACAGGCAGAGAAAATAATCACTCATCAGAGGATAAGACCGAAACTGCTTGATGCCAAATTATCCACAAATGTCATTTTAAGAAATAGCAAAACAGAGAAAGTGAATGCACCAAACATTATCAGCAAGCTAGTAACCTACCGCTCTGCCATGTGTGGCTTTTCGAGTGGGGAAGAAACAAAAAAAAACTCAAGGAAACACTCACTCACTCACTCACTCACACCCGATGTTTCAAGCGTCTTACCTTGCAGCTGTGTTCTGTTCAGACGATGCGAATTCTACACAACCTTTTATATATATTTCTTTAAATACACCAGATACCATATTCTATGCGCAAAGCGCCAAAAGCTCTGCACTTCACGTGAGAGTCTGCGTTCTGAATTAACAGTGACAGAACATTTGGTGATCGGTGCCAGATTCGAGAGAGAGAGAGAGCTAACTAATAAATAATCAGGGATATTTCTGTCTAGAACGAGCTGCTGACATGTTGACGACAACTGAAAATAAACAACTAACAGATTCAGAGCAACCTCCGGGTTAGCTATTCTATTTTCTAGATTACAACCATACTCAGTGGTGCTGTATGTGTCTGGAATTCGGGGGTGGAGTGGGGAGGGGAGGGGGTTTTTTTTTCACAAATAGCCCTGCCCTGACCAACCAGCTCGGCTCTTCCAGTGTGTTCCTGACCTGCACTGACGTCATTGCGTCATTAGGTCTCCCTTAGAAACACTGAGTTTCAAAAATAGTATCAAGTTAATTCAGGGGCAAAGAAAGGCTGCACGCATCTGCAACTGGGAGCAGTCATAAAACCCTCTACCCACTTCCCTAACGGGCTGCCGAGAGAGGAATATTTAACAAAAATAAATCGATTTTTTTTTTCGCCCAAAAATACCTATTGAAGAAAGACCTCCCCCTTTTTGCTGGTCTAAAAATAGCACACGCAGTCAGTGACTGCAAACCCGTCACTGGCATTGCTCACCTCTGTAGGGATCCACCAAGAATATGAATGAATTATCGAAAAGGACAAAGTAGAACACACCCACATACAAATTTGGCGGCAGGAGGGTCACCAATTAAAGGTTACACTGTGGCAAGTTTCCTTTCAATGTCACATCATGTCTCCCACTGTGAAAAAAACTGATTTTACTTCTCCTTTTGTCTTTTGTTTCTTTTAAAAAAAAATAAAATGCACAGCACGTGCCTCACGTGTCTGTATCTGGCAGCAGCTCCGGCTCATTCACAGAAAAGTCTGTGAAGCGGTCCATTAATGATTTGCGCAGACGTACATTGAGAAATGGAGCTCCTTGTGTCCCGTGCAGTTTCCCTGTCTCAACGCCAGAAATTTATCAATAGCCTGACGCCGAGGGAGAAAGCTCGATTTGCAGGAAGTCCCGTGAATGGTGCAAACGGGACTGTGCCCACGCTTTCTGGGGGTGTTTGTTTGGGGGTGGGGGAATATTGGGAAAGATTATTGACCGATCCCAGGCGGAGGCTGAACACAGTGCTTATTGGTGTTACCAGTGCCACAGGTAACGGTTACGGTAATCCACAAACAAATAATCACAGGAGTTAAAATTCTTCCTTGCTACACTTGCAAAAAAAGAATCAGCCTTTCTCAAAGGAGCAGATATTTATTTAGCAAGAATGTCCACAAGATGGTGAATGTCTTGCAGTCTGTTTCTAAAAATAAACTGGGGCCCCTATAGGTCTAACCAGATGATCCAATATTCCTTTCTAACTGAAACACGCCCCGCACTGTAAACCTGCTGACAATCTTTGTCACCGAGATGTGGAATACTACAGAAACTTATCTACAGTGAAGCCCAATTTCTACGCCAAACAGAAGCCAGAAACCAATGGCAATGTTAAGAACATTAATTTAACAATATAATATTACCAATATTTGAATATTGTACAATAATCCCATTATCTAACAACTGGGAAAATGTTTGTAAATTTCATCTGGAATAGGTGCAGGAATAGGCCATTCAGCCCTTGAGCTCACTCTGTTATTTAATGAGATCATAGCTGATCACCAGCTCTTCGAAAATTCTTCAGTTATATCCACATGGTGTGGATTGCCACCAGTTCTTTCACCACCTTGCAATAGGACACACTGGGTTGTGCTAGACATGTGAATTGATCAGACATCACAAGATCCAATAAACTTCAGATTTCCTATCATTCCTATTTTCTAATGCACTTCATTCCTGCACCTAAGTAATTCTTTTCCTAAATCTCTTCACCTCCAATTATAATTTATTGATTTTTGTGTGGCCTTACTTCACTTTACTTCCACCTTCTTTGGCACCCGCAATTCTTTAAGTAAAACATTAGGATGACTCATAGGTAAGAAGGAAAAACTTGCATTAATATAGCACCTTTCATGACCTATCTCCTTATGCCCGCTGACAGGAATTCATCCACCACAGAAATGTTGCTAATGTGGATTCATGGCATCCCCACAGAGTGGAAGCAGGCCATTCAGCCCATTAAGTTCACACTGACCTCTCCAAAGAGCATCCCACCCAATTCAGTTCCCAGCCTTGGTCGCTCTGCAGACATGTCTCCATAGTTGCAATCATATCTTTGCCATTTGTAACTATTTGTGCTGTTAATTTGTCTTTTTATCGCAAATGCTCCATGCATTTATACTTGGCTTAATGACATTGTAACTTTTTTTTGTACTCCAACCCTACTTGCTGCATTCCTTTGTTTCCTCTACCTTCCACTTTTGTTTTCTACTTTACTATCTGTAATTTCCATTTTTGCTTTCCTCATTCTGAGGCTTCAGGGTGATTTAGACAAGTTAAGTGATTGGGACAATACATGGCACATGCAGTATAACATGGATAAAGGTGAAGTTTTCCATTTCAGTAGGAAAAACAGAATGGCAGTTTACAGATATTCACCGCACTCCTCTACAGCAAGAACATTCTTCCTCAGGTAAGGAGACCAAACCTGCATGCAATATTCCAGGTGTGGTCTCACCAAGGTATAATTGTAGCAAGACATTCCTACTCTTGCACTCAAATCCTCTCGCCATGAGGGCCTACCTAAGAAAATATACCCTTGCCATAGAACAAGTAATAGTGAAAGTTCACCAGACTGATTCCTGGGATGTCAGATTTGTCATATGAGCAGAGATTGTATGGACTGGATCTCCATTCACTGGAGTTTAAAAAAATGAGAAGCAAATTAATTGAAATGTACAAAATCCTAACAGAACTGTACAGGCAAGATACAGGAATAATGATTCTGTGGCCAGGAGTCCAGAAAAAAGAGCCACAGTCTCAGGATCCATTAGTAATCCATTTCAGACTGAGATGAAGAGAAATGTTTTCATTGAGGGTGATAATACTCTGGAATTCTTTACCACAGGCGGAATCAGGAGAGAGCAAGAGTATGGCATTGAGATAGATGATCAATAATAATCATGTTGAATGGAGTGGGCTAAATGGGCAAAGGTCTGCTTTTGCTCCTATTTTCTGTGCTACCATGTTTATACAACATAGAGCACCATACAGTTTCCATTATAATATAGAGAAATGTGGCAATTAATTTATGCGCAGTAAGCTCCCACAGACTACAATGAGATAATGACAAAGCAATCTATTTCAGTGGTGTCAACTGAGGTACAAATATTGGCTAAGGACACTGGGGTGAAACTTCCTGCTCCTCTTCAGGTTGCACTCCATAAGTGTAAGTTATTGCCTGGATTCTTAGTACTATTTTTTTTAACAGTATCTAAAAGTCACAGAAATTACCTCCCATCGTTTGTACATTACAGGCCATTTCCTTGCAATTTGCACCTTCTTTATGAAGTTAATATGTTGATTTCACTTGTCCATTGCATTTCACCATCTATTCTCTTCTTTCCATCAAATTAACCCTGAGGTATCTCACTGGTACAATAGCTATTTGACTCAAAAAGCTTACCTTTCCCGATTCCATCAGATCCAACCTGCTTGTTTTTCTCATTACATCTGTCAATCTCTTCCCCAAAAAACACTTCTGGATAATTTTAACTTATTATACAGCAATGGTTCCCCGGGTAACTTTTCCCATAAACTCGTTATCTTATGATTTGAAAAACAGAATCCCTTGCCTCCTCTATTGGTCTTAGCTTTATGATATCTAATTTATGTTTGACATTTCTGCTGGGCAAGGAGAGTATTTAAATTAACTTTGTCAAACTACTTCATTATGCATGGAACGTCCTCCAAGCATTCTCAAAATCTTTCTGTAGTGATTGTAACAAGGTAGACCTCACAGAATATGAGTTCCATGATTGGGACTGTTATCCTGGTCCAATCAGGGAGCCCTGGATGACAGATATAAACAGGAGTGTCAGAAGTTCTGTTCACTCTGAGAGCTGGCTCTGAGGGGAAAAATGTGTGTTTGAGGCAAGCCAAGTGACCTACACCCATTGGAACATAAAGTGAAGGCTATCAAAGGTGCCCTGGTTCCCACATCTGTATTGGAGCTTAGGTATTTCCTTGGATTGGTGAATTATTACAGAAAGTTCATACGTAACCTGGCCTCCATCCTGGCATCTCTGCATCTGCTATTGAAAAAGGTCCAGCCTTGGAAATGGTCTCGTAGCTGAGATATAGCCTTTTGGAAAGTGAAGAAACAGCTATCATCATCTAAGGCATTGGCACACTATGATCCCAAGCGAGATCTGGTGCTGACATGCAATGCCTCCCATTCAGTATCGGGTAGTGTTGGCTCACAGATGGCCCAATGGAGAGGAATACCCAATACCGTATGCTTCCTGGACTTTGGCTGATGCAGAGCACAAATATTCCCAGATAGAGAAAGAAGGTTTGGTGGTCATCCTTGGTGTGAGAAAGTACACCAATACCTTTACGGATGTAAATTTGTAATAGTAGCAGACCTCAAACTCCTGTAATGAAAACAAGGCTGTGCTGCCCATAGCTTCTGGCTGAAATCAGTGGTGGGATCTTATTCCGAGTGCATACAATTACAAGTTGGAACACTGTCCGGGAGGCCAAGTCCCAAATGCGGATGCCTTGAGCCACCTCCCACTGGCAGATACATCACTGGTGGTGCTGCCACTGAAACAGTCAGTTCTGGACACTCTTCTGGTCACCGTCGACGATGTCAGACTGTGTACACAAAGAGATCTGGTCCTGGCAAAACTAAAACAGTTGGTGATTGATGGGGGAAATAAAAGGGCCATCACAACCAGAATTGAAATCTTTCTGGACCTGGCGAGACCTGATCACCGTAGAGGACGGCATTTTACTATGGGGAGCAAGGGTGGTTGTCTTGAGCAAAGGTTGCTTCCAGATACTGGCTGAACACTACCAGGGTCATCCAGGAGTCTCCAAAATGAAGATGTTGGTGAGAAGTTAAGTCTGGTGACCAGGATTGAATGCTGACATAGCCGCATTGATGGGGCAATGCCCAGAGTGTCAGCAAGGACAGAAATTACCATCAGCAACTCTTCCATATTCAGGGGAATAGTCGGGTAAACCCTGGACTTGGTTGCACGTCAACTATGCTGGTCCTTTCATGGGCTCAACATTCTTAGTCTTTGTGGATGCCCATTCAAAGTGGTTGGATGTGCATAGTGTTCATTTGTCAAACATGGGCAATGATAGAAAAGCTGTGAGCATCTTTTGTAATACATGGGGTCTGGGAAGTGTTGGTCACAGGCAATAGGCCATCATTTGCCAGCAGGGAATTCAAGTATTTCCTAACGTCGAATGGCATTTGGCATGTAAAAACAGCTCTCCATACCATCCGTCATCCAATGGTCTGTCAGAAGAAGCAGTGCAAACTTTGAAGACAGGCTTAAAGAAAGAGCCTTTAGCTTCACTCAATACCAAACTGTCCCAGTTCTGATTTGATTATCGGACCACTCCTCATACAACTACAGGGATAACTCCAGCAGAGTTGCTAATGGGCAGAAGATTCCGCACCAGGTTAAATCTGATTTTCCCGGACCTGGGAGAGGGTGAATTGGCATCAGGAATGCCAATGCCATACATAAGACTCCTCTAAGCGAGACAGATAGTTTATTGCAGGGGATGAAGTTTGTTGCCGAAACCAGAAAAATGGCTTTGCACGGGGAACA